ATACATAAAAATTATATTAAAATGTTTTAAATTACACACGCACACAAACACAAACAAACACATAAATATATATATATATATATATATATTCAAAAATTTCTCATTTTTAAACTTAAGTAATTTATATATATATAATTAAAGTACATTTTATATGTATTTATGTATATAAATATAATAATGTGCTTACATTTTATGAGTACCATTTTTATAAAAAAGTTTATTTAAATAAATTGTGTATACATGCATACAAAATTTAAATATAATACTTATTAATTTTTATATAAAAACCTACACTATAGATTTTTATATATATATATATCTTTAATCTATGTATTTTTTCTTATGTAATATTTAATTTATTTAAAATTTAAAATTTTTTTTTATCTTGTATCAAATACTAGCCTACTGAAAAACTCTCCTGATGAGCTTCTGCTGTCAGTCATATGCAGTAAAAGCCCTCGACTCACTGCTGTTTCTCCTCTGGCTCGCAGGTTGAGCTCTTTCATTGAGCCGGGTGTGAATTGACTGTCTTGTTGGCTCAGGGTTTGGAGTACATCTGGAGATGTGACCCGTTTGTCGTCCCTGCTCCGACGTTTTTAATTATGTGTGCGGTTTTTTGTGGGAGGTGAGGCTTTACTGTCTGTTAATTAGGTTGAAGATGGATCCGAGATGTTCCTCTCTTATGTAATATTTAATTTATTTAAAATTTAAAAAATTTTTTTATCTTGTATCAAATACTAGCCTACTGAAAAACTCTCCTGATGAGCTTCTGCTGTCAGTCATATGCAGTAAAAGCCCTCGACTCACTGCTGTTTCTCCTCTGGCTCGCAGGTTGAGCTCTTTCATTGAGCCGGGTGTGAATTGACTGTCTTGTTGGCTCAGGGTTTGGAGTACATCTGGAGATGTGACCCGTTTGTCGTCCCTGCTCCGACGTTTTTAATTATGTGTGCGGTTTTTTGTGGGAGGTGAGGCTTTACTGTCTGTTAATTAGGTTGAAGATGGATCCGAGATGTTCCTCATTCCCATGATTGCCTTTTTCTTCTATGCTCATGCACGAGTGGCAGAGCATGGATAGAGCTGAAGGAGTAAAGCTCATGAAGAAGAAACGTTCGGGTCATTACTCACCTCAGCATTCAATTGCATAAAGAAAATGAAGCCTATTTTTAGAACCATTAAAATGATTATAGGCTTTGTTTTGATGACAAAATACAATATTTCTGGTTGTCTTTTTGATTTTGGGGTAAAATACAAGCCAGACATTTCTCGTCGGCTTCAGGAGATTCTCATGCATGTTTAAAGATGTGTGCGCTGCAGCCTTGTCACTCATTCAGAGAGTTGAGCATTTCTTTGTGGCTCATTCACAACGTCATGTCCCTGAGAGAAGAGGAAGTCTGCTCACAGCTCGGCTTGTTTTGATCGCTTTGGTGAAAGGGTGACACATTAGCGATCATTAGTGTTTTTCTGTTCATTGACCTTTTCTAAAAATAGCCCCTGCATAGGAAAAACATTTAAAGCGTCTAAGATACAGAGCTAGTGCTTACTTACTGCTTGATTAGTCATTTGACATTCTCCTGTCTTTTTGGCTATGTATATAACAAAAAGTAGTTCCAGGATTTTACAGTTGATCCCGTGTGTTTGTTTATCCTCAGCTTCCCAGATGGAGTCAGATATCTGTCTGAACAGCACTGTCAGTGTGATGTTTACAGTGGAGTGGGGTTGAATCGATACCAGCTCTGGTAGATCCGTATTGGTGCTTAATCGATACCTTAAGCACCAATAAACAGTGTTATATCTATGTGCAGATTCAGGGTTTAAAATTAATTTTTTGCATTTTTTTGTTAGGAATCATGTTTGTACAAATAAAGTTACATTGGAAGTGTATTGCATGATCATATGTGACCCTGGACCACAAAACCAGTCATAAGGGTCAATTTTTCGAAATTGAGATTTATACACCATCTCAAAGCTGAATAAATAAGCTTTCCATTGGTGTATGGTTTGTTAGGTTAGGACAATATTTGGCCTAGATACAACTATTCTGGAAAAAATCTGGAATCTGAGGGTGCAAAAAAAATAGAAATATTGAGAAAATCGCCTTTAAAGTTGTCCAAATGAAGTTCCTAGCTATGCATATTACTAATCAAAAATTAAGTTTTGATATATTTACGGTAGGAAATTTACTAAATATCTTCATGGAACATGATCTTTACTTAATGTAATGATTTTTGGCATAAAAGAAAAATCAATCATTTTGACCCATACAATTAAAGTGTACCATATGTCCCCCTAAATTATATTTATTTATTTGTGTTTAGTTCCTTATCTGTATTCTTGCAAACGCCCGTGACAGTCTTCTGGGTTTTGTTTTGTTTTTTTGTTTTTTGTTTTTTGTTTTGTTTTGTTTTGTTTTATCAAAAAATTGCAAACCTCTAAAATAATCACAAAACAAAAGCAACTGTTGTGTGTGTGTGTGTATATATATATATATATACATACTACATAGTAAGATTTTAAAATAAACTTTTACAAAATGTTATTATCCTAATGAATGTGAGTTTTAAATATCATCTGGTGAATGTTATGTAACTTAATTAATATTCATGAGGTGTGATAATAAGGTGTATCATATGTTTGTTAGTGTGTATATTTGTTTTAGTGGGCCTGCACAGCTGGTGCAAATATAACCGGATAGTGTGAATGTATAATATTATTAGTAAAATAAAATATTATATAATAATTTTCAATAATACATCACATTTACCTATGCTACCTATGTTATATTTTCAGCAAATCAGTTAGGACTACTGCGTGAATGTTCATTTAAATTAATATTCATGAGCCAGGCTAATAAGGTGTATCATATTTCCTTCCATATTTCCCCAGTTGAGTGTTAATAAAGTAATCATAATAGATTAAATTCAGTATTTTGCACTACATTTTCATTATTAGATCATTGCATTGTTCTTTTACACAATGCATCATTACCTTTGCTTATATGCTTCATGTCATGGTGTCTGAAATGTCTTGTAACTACTCTAAATAGATTAACAGGTAGGTTACTTAAATATGCTAAATGATTGTTTTGTGCTGTTAATTCTTTTCTTTTTTTTGCGTCAGTATATTGTGCGTCCCAGGGTTAGTGAATACGCTGGAAAAGTAATAAACTAATAAATCCCAGCACATATTTTGCTCCAAGGGTTTGTTTTTTTCAAAGTTGTCACCTTGGTGAAGTGGCCAAATTGAAATCCCCATTTTCAAACCTCATTAAAAATTCATGAAGTTTTAAGAGCGTTTTACGCCAGGCCCCATATGGAGCTACACAGTGATTTTATGCCAGATCTGTTGGTCCGCGCCAGCTCATGCATCTCCTGCCAGCCGCCGCTGTTCGCTGTCAGGTGAATTACGTGCGTGAGGACGGGAACACAGACGCTTAGTTCAAACATTGACATTGGCGCAGACGTTTTTAGTTCCTCTGCTGTCAGCCGAAGCTGTCTGGCCAGTATTTTGGTGTAAAGTGACTCTTTTAGTTGTGGCTATAAAACACTTGACCTCTCACAGTCGATGCTTCTTATTTTCTCTTCCTCCATCAAGCTTCCCTGTAGATTTTTATTTGTATCTCCAGCTTCTTTCCAGAAAATAGATGCATTCAGCGGGTGTTTGATAGAGAGACTGTGGGGATGTTTCATCATTACAGTGACTGTGGATTCATTTCACTTTCTGAGTCGAAGGTCTGATTACTTCAGAGACAGCCTGAGCTGCAGATGATGAATGGAGAAATCAACACAAATGATCATTTGAAGTAATGTCTTCTTTATTTACACTGGTGCCAGTCTGGTTTGCACTGGTCAAGGTGGTCTGGTTTGCTGGTTTTAGTAGGGTTTGGGGCATTTGTCAGCAAACCCAGATTTTTAGCCAGAGTTAAGTTAATATTTTTAATTTAATTTTATTTTATTTTATTTTATTTTATTTTATTGTTTTGTTTTGTTTTGTTTTATTTTATTTTGTTTTGTTTTGTTTTGTTTTGTTTTGTTTTGTTTTGTTTTGTTTTGTTTTGTTTTGAAAACCACACATCAGGGTTTTAAAAGGTCCCAAATACTGGTAAAAGGGTTGCAAAAACAGCAACCTTCATCTAAAATAAGTGCAACAATAAAACAACTAAAATAATATTTCCAAACACCTCTTTTCACTAACAATTTACAGAAAAATTATATATTTTGTTTTGGTTGTGACAAAAAGTGTACAGTGTGCACTCGACACACACTACTGTGTGTTGCTTTAAGTGTCTCTCTTCACACACCATGTGTTTGCTCAGAGTTGATTGATGAATCCGTTCGAACGCTGTCAGCTCAGATCAGTGTACAATGAACCAAACTGATATGGACAAACACTGCTGGGACTTGATGGTCACACTGTGTGTGTGTCCTCTACAGGTCTTAAGACGTATCTGATATCCGGGAGGAAGGTGACGCACGCCCAGTGGAGCTGCCCTCCATCTGCTGTGGTGGCTCCTGAGCTCAGAAAGTCTCTGAGCACCTCGTCCTTCAGCCACAGCCCTGACGTCACATCCTCCGCCTGCGCTCTGACCCCTGCCCCGGACAGAGCTAAGGTCAGTCCCACACTCACTTACACGCCCAACACCAAAATCCTTTATTCTACATAATTAAAAGTGACGTTTTAATGTGCAACCTTGTAATCACTTCACACTAACTGATTTAGTGCAGCAGTTCTCAACATTTTTTTTTTGACTCTGAGGCCTACCACTGTCAGACAATGACTGTGAGGTCAAAGATATTTCTGGTACTTCTGCCATAATGACCAAGCTGCTCAGTTTCGATCAACTTTTTTATTTATAGAAACTTGGAGTGTCATTATATTAAAATAATTAAATGATAATTTTTCATTTTATTTCTGTAAGTACAAATTAAATATTATCATTATTACTTATTATTATTATTATTATTATTGATTAATTATTTTAATAATTACTATTAATAATTTAATATTACAATAAATAAATAAATAATTAAAATAATATAATATATTATATATTACATTGTGTGTATGTGTATAGTCATTTTAAATGTGCTGTAATTATAAGTTATATATTATCAACATTACTTATTATTATTAATTCATTATTTTAATATTTACAATTAACAATTTAAAGTATACTATAATATAATATAATGAAACTGTATGATGTTTTATAATTATAAAATATATTATCAATATAAATTAGTATTATTAATTCATTATCTTACAATTAATAATTTATCATATATCACAAATATATCATATCATATCATATATCATATCATATCATGATACAATAAAATTAAAGTAAAACATATAAAAAATATAAAGTTAAAATTAATATAATGCGAGTTAAAATATTATATAATAATTATATAATCGTGTATTATATATAATTTAAAATAATTAAAATCTGTAATTCAATAACTGTATGTTCCTCGGTGATTACACTTTTTATTAACAATAAATTTATATGACGTTTTAAAATCAGCAGTTTCTACTCAATAAAATATTTTAGAGCTTGACATAACTAGAAAAATGTATATTCATTATCACAAATTTCCATGGCTTTTAAAGATTTAATTATTGTCCATGACTTATCCAGGTTTAGAAATATAAATATAACTTTTAATTCCCTCATATATATCTAGGTTTTATGAAACTGTGGACTTAAAATTACATTTTTAAAAATTAAATAAAAAAAAAAAATCTTTATGTTTAGCTCTATTAACTTATTTTAATATTTGTTATATTTGTCTTTATTTTAATTTAGTATAAAATTTGTGTTCACTATATATATATTAGGGCTGTCAATCGATAAAAATTTTGTATCTGATTAATCACATCCTTTTTCTATGATTAATCGCACACTTCATGAAATTAAGCATAGACCATTTATCTTGTTTCAAATGTTTATTTTGTCATCATTTGCTATATCCAGCAAAGTAAACCAAAATATTGAAGGGTGATTCTCAAAAATCTGTATTTTCTGCAAGCTTTTTTCAAGATAAATTTAGATGTCTTTCCAAAAAAGGACACTTAGAAACTCCAAAAGGACACCAAAGAACCAAATGATATAAGGAGCCCATATAAGCACATATGAAAGAAATAAAATGCATGTATGTGTACAGTGAAGTCAAGTTGCGATACCGAACAGGACCACATGGAGATGCCAAAAAAACCATAAACCAACCGCCTGCTGACTGCATTTATCTACTACAGTACATGGATCCATTTAGAATAACTAAACAGCAAAATACACATGACAAATCAAAACATTACCGTGAATGTGTGTGGAAACAACGTGAATGCACAGAAATGTCTGTGCCTGTGCATAAATACAATGTGTTATCAGTGCGTCAAGAGCACTCATACACGCATTATTATAACGAACTCACGCGTGCTTACTATATATATATATATATATATATATATATATATATACACAGTATAAACACACACACACACATACATATACAGTATAGAATACAAGATATATTGAATCACATCATCGGGAACTAGGGAGCTATTTTTAGTCCCTGAATGTCTGAGTTAATATTCATAAAATAATTTTCTGAATATATTAATACAAATGAATATATGAATACTAGTAGTCGGCGTATCAGGTGTTGTATTGGGTTTTACTTTGTTAATGCACAATCTGTCTCTGTGAATGCTGCTTTCTCTCAAGTGTTCTCTGAACAGCATTATTCCATTTACTGATGAAAGGACTGCGCTGGAAACATACCATGCTGATTCATTGTGTGAAACACTGCAGTGATTTGCGGAAGGCCGTGAGGGATCACAATGAGCACGTCAATAAGTGAGCGTGTCCAGACCAGATCTGTGAGATCATAATGTGTCGTGTGCAATGCATCCACCTCTCCTTTTAAATTTGATCGATCAGTTAAATGCACAATGCATTCATCCAAGCAACCTTTCAGAGGACGCCACATTACCCGACAGCCTTTGCAAAAGATACTCTCGTCATTGCACTTTAATACTGATGGGACCTTGGGTTGCAAGCGATAGTGGAAAATAAGATAAGGGAGGGCAGGCGAACCACTGCTCGCTGCTCCTGTGCAAACAGCAGAGAGGGAAAACTAGAGTCTGTCTGTCTCTGTCTGTAGTAATTATTCATCTCCGAGTCTAAATGCTGTTGATTTTTAATCCCTTGCATATTCAAACGGCAAATGTTAAATGGCAGATGCAACACATTTTAGAGCTGCTTGCTAAAGCTGGCATCACTACTTCTGTTGTTCAAAATTGGAGATAGAGATTTGAACAAACCCTTCGGCATTAAACTTAGAGCAAGAAGTTGAAAATCACTCCCAACTAACTTTGGCTAACGTTCTGGGAAGGTTCTCTGAACGTTATGAACAAACATTCTACCAGTGATGTTAAAGGAATAGCTCACCCAGAAATAAAAAATGGCTGGAAATTTACTCACCCTCAGGCCATCCAAGATGTAGATGAGTTTGTTTCTTCATCAGAACAGATTTGGAGAAAGTAGCATTACATCACTTGCTCAGCAATGGATGCTCTGCAGTGAATGGGTGCCGTCAGAATGAGAGTCCAAACAGCTGATAAAAACATCACCGTAATCCCCAAGTAATCCAGTTCATGAGTTAACATCTTGTGAAGCAAATCCATCATTAAGGCTTTTTAACGTCAAACTGACGGCACCCATTCACTGCAGAGGATCCATTGATGAGCAAGTGATGAAATGCTAAACATCTCCCAATCTGTTCCGATGAAGAAACAAACTCATCTACATCTTGGATGGCCTGAGGGTGAGCACATTTTCAGCCTTTTTTTATGGCTGAACTATTCCTTTAATAGAATGTTTGTGTAAAGTTATCTGGTCTCAAACAACATTCCCAAAACGTTAGCACAAAAACATTCTTTTTTTTATGTGTGAAGAATGTTGGTAACCAAACAGTTGCTGGTCCCCATTGACTTCCATGGTATTTTTTTTTCCCATACTGTGGACGTCAATGGCTACCGTCAACTATTTGGTTACCAACATTCTTCAAAATATCTTCTTTTATGTTCAGCAGAAGAAAGAAACTCAAACAGGTTTGGAACACCTTGAGGGTGAGTAAATGATGACAGAATTTTCATTTTGGGGTGAACTCTCCCTTTAAATGGAAAGCAAAACATTTTTAGACTCAAACACCTAGAAACTACCTAGCAATGCCATAGCAATCACATAGCAATGTGCTAAAACACTAAGCACATTAGCATTATGAACAAAGTGTTTCTCTCCTGTTGGATCAGTGATCTTTCCATGTGGTGTATTGTTTCTAACTTCAGCGTTTTACTGAATGAAAACAGTAAGTGAAGTGTTTGGCTCTGTTCTCTCTGCTGCACATAATTTCATTTCGTGTTTTCCTGTTTCTCTTCCGTCAGTCTGCCCGTCCCTCGTGTGGCGCGTTAGCTTCTGAGGACGGGGCGGTTCACAGCAACAGCTGCTCAGATCCTGATCACAAAACCATCAACAGCAAGGTGTGTGTCTTACACCTGATCTCAGTGAGCAGAATGAGAAAATCCAGAATGTTCCAGTATTTTATGCCTATCTAAACTGCTTTGTTTGGTGCAAGGGAGTTTCAATAAATAATGTAACAGCTCTTTTTCCATATGAAAGGTATTATTTACATTTTTTTATTTTTTATTTATTTTATTAAATTAAAATGTCCTGCTATTTAGATTAGATAGTGTCAGAAAACACTACCAGATAGCGCCACCTATTGGTTATAATATAAAAAAAACAGTTTTAAGATGGAATAATAGCATACCGTTTAGTGTTTTTTAAATTATTTTGTGAAGCTATATGCTTTAAGAACCCATAAACATTTCAAACAATAGACATATTTGCTATATGATCTCATTATATTATTCATTGTGCATGTTTAATTCAGCAAGTGTTGCCCAGTCACCATCTCAGACATAAAAAACAATACAGTTTTGCTGTCAAATAAATAATGCATCAAGAAAATATAAACCTTTTTTTTTACTTCTTGACTGTAACATTTGAAACATGCATTATCTGTAAATCTGCTTTAAAACTATATGCATGGTGAAAAGCGCTGTACAAACAAATGTGAAATGAAAAATAGTAGTTGACATTTTTTTTTTCAGTTCATTCATCACATTGGAAATGGAAGTTATAAGTCACTGTGCAATGAAGTATTGCAGGCATTGTGCTGTGGTTGTGTGCTGCACATTTCAGCAAATGTCAGGTCGTCTTGGTCCTCTTGCATACAAAAAATGCGCATACTCTGCACAGTATATATACTGCATAATTAGTGTGAATGTGTGCTGTTCTGAACATGAACCTTTGAGGTGTGCAGTCCAGATTTTTGTGTGTTTGGTGTGATCGATTTGTTCAACTGTGACATTATTTTTGTAACTTTTTCCCTGTAAAAAAATATACATAGAAAATAAAACCGTAATATTGTGAAATATTACTACTATATGAAATAACTGTTTTCTATTTGAATGCATATTAAAATGTAATTTATTCCTGTGATGCAAAGCTGAATTTTCAGCATCATTACTCGAGTCTTCAGTATCACATGATCCTTCAGAAAGCATTCTAATATGCTGATCTGCTTATTATTATTATGAAAACAGTTGTGCTGCTTAATATTTTTGTGGAAACTGATACATTTTTTTTCAGTATTCTTTGATGAATAGAAAGTTCAAAAGAACAGCATTTATTTGAAATGGAAATCTTTTGTAACATTAAAAATGTCTTTAATGTGCCTTTTGATCAATTTAATTCATCTTTTTCATCTTCAAAAAGGTCTTACTGATCCCAAACTTCTGAACAGTAGTGTACATCATAATTTAATATAGTGCCTTTTTCATATGATAATGAATTACCATTGAGAAAAAAAAAACAATCAATAAGATTAAACATCCAGACTCATTATAGTAATGAGAATGTGGGGAGAAATGTGCTTAATTGCCATTAAAATAATATCACAATAAAAAATTATTTTTTGGTTGAAGTGTGACATGGTGACATATTTTTGTGTGATTAATCTATAAAGGGCACAGTAACATTACCATTTTGTGCATATTATTGGTTTCATCAGCACCTATATGTGCATAATTTTCTTACTAGAGAGGTCTTATTTATTGTCTTATTTGAGAGTGTCTTATATAATGAAATGCCCTTTTATTAACAAAATTGTGCTGCAATTCTCTCATTGTTTGTATCTTCCATCTGAATCTTCTTCAGAGGTCGCCTGGCAGGAGTCCCAAGACTCTTAATGGCCTGTTAAGCCCTCATCTGGAGCAGCCGCTGACCCACAGCCAGACCTCTCTGTGTGAGATGCTGCAGGAGAAGGAGAAGAAGTGGCCCGGAGGAGGAGGAGGAGGAGGAGGAGGCATCAGCAGCATGGGAACCATGGACCACTCCGCCCTCATCCCACTGCGCTCCAAAAACTTCCGCGAGAGGAGCGACGCTCACTTCGTGGACGTGATAAAGGAGGACAGGTAGGAAACGACAGCAGTGAGGATGGGGCCAGCTGGGACAAAAATGTCAGACAAGATGGACCGTTATTGTTTAACGGCCGCCAGCGGAGGTCATGCTGTTCCCAGAGGGACACTTGATGCACTTTGATGTAGTGTGCTGTGATGTACTACGTGTGTCCTGCGGTCCTGGACGGTCCATTTTTCTTGTCTTCCTCTATAAAAGATATCATTGTACTAAATAGTTGTGTGTATAGGATTTTAGTACAAAATCTTGATTAGTAACCATTCATAGTCCAGTTTAACTAGGTTCAAATTAACCCCACGATTCACAAAAGGACACAATATGAAAAAATGTCAAATTGTAAAACTGTAAAACAAAAAAAAAACATTACCTAAAAATAAAAATAAACATGAGAACATTTTATTTGAAGGAGTAGTTCACCCAAAAATGAAAAAGTTTGTTTCCTCATCAGAACAGATTTGGAGAAATTTAACATTACGTCACTTGCTCACCAATGGATCCTCTGCAGTGAATGGGTGCCGTCAGAATGAGAGTCCAAACAGCTGATAAAAACATCACAATAATCCACAAGTAATCCACATGACTCCAGTCCATCAGTTAATGTCTTGTGAAGTCCTTCAAGGCATTTTATAAAACGGTTAGTTCCATTCCTCGATTCTGGATATTACAGTATTTATTAGTTTTCTGTTTCAGTTATGATTCTGTATTTCCATCAGTTTACACTGTAATGACACTTGCAAACTCGCACTGTGCCGCGAATCGGTCTGTTTTAAAACTAAAAGATGGAAAACAGACGTTTTCTCATACTGAGAGATAAGCAGATGTGTGTGAGAAAATATCATATATGGTGTTAAAACAATAAATGACACAGTGGATGATAAGAGCTCCTATTCTCTGTTTTTATTTAAGCTCCATTAGATGAGGCATGTCCGGAACATTCTCTTGCCGTTTACTGTTGCTGTCAGGAACTACTTTTTAGCGGAAGGACAGCATTTAACAAACTTGCTTCAGAAAAGTAACATTTCAATACATTTTTGGTTTTAATATTTTTTATTGTGTGGTAACCGTTTTCCACACAATAACCGTTTTCCGCTTCGCGTCGTGCCTAACAATGCCCTTCAGCCGTGATTTATTCACGATACAGCATGGCCTCTCGTACCTTATTGCTTACTTAACTTTAAACGTTTTAACTTTAAAGTGTCGCTTCTGTTCCAAAATACGAGTCCATAATCTGTAGTAATGCTTCCTGCAGTGGAAAAGTCCATCTCCTGTTGTCCTCTCATATTACAATCCACCAACATATCTGTTTAGAACTGTTTTGGACTGTTTTCACATTCGATCTGTGCATATTTCTCTCCTGATTCTGACAAGACAACTTTTTCACTGGAAAAAGCAGTATTATGAATAGAGGACCTATATTTTAGCTGGAAGCGACTGTTTGAAGTTAAAAATGTCTTAATGATGGATTTGTTTCTTACAAACAAGCAGCTTTCCACTTCACAAGACATTAACTGATGGACTGGAGTGGTGTGGATTACTTGTGGATTATTGTGATGTTTTTATCAGCTGTTTGGACTCTCATTCTGACGGCACCCATTCACTGCAGAGGATCCATTGGTGAGCAAGTGATGTAATGCTACATTTCTCCAAATCTGTTCTGATGAAGAAACAAACTCATCTACATCTTGGATGGCCTGCGAGCGAGTACATTTTCAGTTTTGGGTGAACTCCTTTAAGCTACATTTTCTATGTGAAATATAGTTTTTTCTTTTGATTTAGGGTTGTGACCATATGCACTGATATAACTCTGCTCCATGTGCCTTTAAAACCAACCTTTTTCTTTGCCTCTTTTCAGTGCAGATGTTCTGCATGCAATTGAACAATGGATGCAGTGAATTCCCTCCACAATCTAATGTTGTTTTCTGTGCTTCGACCTTGCAGTCTGATGAAAGATTACTTCTTCAAACCGCCCATCAACAAGTTGAGCCACACTTTCATAGACAAATCCCTGGAGTCGTCTTACAGGACCAGCTACCAGGATGAGGTAAGACGTTCCTTCCATTTATAAATAATGTGTTTTTTTAACATTAAAGCATGTCAACATATTCTGTTACACCAAATACACAAAATAATGATCTTTAAAATAGCATCATATGATCCCTTTAACTCAGTCGGGGTGTATGATTTTTGCTAACTGGTCAGTGAGAGAGAAACAGCATCATGAGGACAAATTTTGTTGCGCTGTCTGTACTGCCCTCTGGTGGTCTGCTTTTTAAAAATGCATTAATGCTTACCGGGACATATTATACTGGCAGTATTTTTCAAATCAGAGTTCTTGATTTGATTAATAATTCTGTTTCTTTCTTTCTGATTATTGTCAGGTTAAGACACAGACTCCTGTCCAGACATTTGCCAGTCCAACGTTCAGCTCCTTCTTAGACATGCTCCTGTGCTGTTGTGTTCTCCTGGCTCTCTCTGTGGCCTGCTTCCTGCGACCACTGGTTACCCAGCAGCCCCTGCCCACACCTGCCCTTATAGTGGCCGCAGTTGCAGCTGTGCTTGAATGTTTGGCACTAGTGCTGGCAATACGGTGAGTGTGAAGATTACGATCCTTTACTCATCCTCATGTTGTTCCAAACCCATGCAATTTGTTGTTTTTCATGCAATATGAAAGAGCATATTTTTCAGAATGTCCTAACTATTTTTCCTGCACAAAAGGCCATATAATAGCTTTTGTTCGTATTTTGAATTTAATTTTGCTTTTTATTTTTTCTGTTTCACTTTAATTTTAGTTAAAGTTTTATTAAAGTCTTGTGTTTTTGTCATTTTTAAGTCATTATTATTATTATTATTTTTTTTTTATATGTTTATTTAGTTTATTTAGTTTTAGTTGTTTTAGTACTTCAAGTTAAACTAAATGAAAATTAAAAAAATGTTGATTTGGCAACTAGATGAAATAAAATAAGATAAAGTTTTATTAATATTTTATTTTATTTTCATTAATGTTTATTTTATTTCAAGTATCAAAAATGTTTTAAAATGGTTTTAGTACATTATATTAATCAAATATGTTGCAACACGGCATTCTAGGTTTGGACAAAATTAATTTTAGAGTTTTAGAATGACATGAGGGTGAATAAATGATTTCATTTTTGGATGTATGTATAGTTTTTATTAATGTTTATGTAGTAGTTTTAGTTATTGTCTATATTGTTTTTATTCATTTTTATTTATTAGTTGTAGTTAATTTAGATTGAATTGTTTTAGTACTTCATGTTACACCTTGGCAATAAGTTAAAGTTTTAGTTCATTTCAGTTAACATTTATTTTATTTCAAGTAACCATTTTTTTATGATTTTAGTTTTAGTTAACACCCCTGATGAATAATCATATATAGTGCAACATGGCATGCTATATTTGTAGAAAATTGTACATGTTTAGAATGAAATGATGGTGAATAAATGATGCTAGAAATTTCATTTTTGGATGAATTATGTCTTATTTAAACCTGCCTGTGTGGATGAGGCCAAAAGTATTGAAAAAAAGGTTTTACTTGATGTAAATATTCATCAGATCAAATTGCATGATCTTTTTAATGCTTGTCAGAAATGCCTCTGTCATGCCAGATTCAGAGTATTCAGAGCCTCTTAAGCGGAACAAATTCTGCAAATATTGCTGCTGTAACAGAATGGGACTGAGCTGAAAATCTAAAAGAATAATACACGTGGTTAAATAATGTAGAGGAATGACACGTTTAGCCTCAGTTTCAACCAGCAGGTGTCTGGATCTGTTCCAGGCTGATACAGATGTTTGTTTCATGTTCAAAAGCTTCGGCATCCTTTGTAGATCAAATTACAAATTTAAATGCGTTTCATTTGCATTCAGTCACTTTAAAAGGACAATTCACCCCAAAATGAAAATTCTGTCATCATTTACTCACCCTCATGTTGTTCCAAACCTGTATGACTTACCAAACAGTTCCGGTTCCCATTGACTTCCACTGTATGGGTAAAAAATTATTTATTTATTAATATAAATTATGAGAGTTTTTCTCATATTCAGATATGTTATTGGGATGTATTTCCATTTTGTTGTTCACAAAAGACTGTTACTTTAGTCTTAAAACGGTACCAGTGCAGCATAATGCACAATACACAACGTGCATGTAGCTGTTGCTGTAGAGTGCTGATGAAATGTGTATATCTCATTGTCCACTTTACAGAAGAGCCTTTTACCTGGACAGCGTTCTGAACTGCACCAGGACCCTCCTCTGGGCCATTTCCGGCTGGGTTCCCCGTCACATGATCGGAGCAGTGCTGGTGTCTTTACCTGCCGTGGCTGTGTTTTCTCATATCACCTGCAATATGCATGACTCCATACAGGTAAACACAAGGGCATGTATGTCACAAGGGGGTTTTCATGTATGTCCAATAGTTTTTATTTAATATAAAGTACATTTGTTTAGCATTTTCATCTTTTCCCTCTTCAAACTGTGCTGTAGCTGTAAAGTGATGGTAATACTATGGCACTCTGATTCATATTCATATTAGATAAAAAAAAAAAACATTCTTACTGGAATTTTGATTAGGACATTTTCTTCTACAGTACCCAAGTCCTAGTCCGGTTTCAGATTGCAGCATTTTCCTGCACCCATTTTCTGTCCATCTTTAGGATTAGAATATAAAAATTATTCAAAATATTAATAAATACTATAAAAGCATATACATAATAAAAAATTGTAGTCACAGGTTTGTCAAAGTGCAATTTATTCTTATCAGACCAAAGAATCAAAATAAAATGCTTTATATACCGTTCAAAAGTTTGAGATCGGTAAGATTTTGTTGTTGTTTTTTTAAGAAATTAATACTTTTATTCAGGAAGGATGCATTAAATTGATCAAATGTGACAGTAAAGACATAAATCAGCCAATCAATCCTGAAAAAAGTATCACGGTTTCCAAAAGACATGACAAAAGGCACAACTGTTTTCAACACTGATAATAATGATAAATGTTTATGAGCAGCAAATCAGCATATTAGAATGATTTCTGAAGGATCATGTGACACTGAAGACTGGAGTAATGATGCTGAAAATTCAGCTTTGATCACAGGAATAAATTACATTTTAAATATATATTACAATAGAAAAATATATTTTAAATTGTAACAACTTTTCTGAATATTACTGTTTTTATTGTATTTTTGATCAAATAAATGCAGCCTTGGTGAGCTTAACAGACTTATTTCAAAATTATATATATTTTTAAATCTTACCGACCACATACTTTTGAACAGTACTGTATAGTTTTATTATAATAAATATATATATTTATATATACATCCCAATTTGTTGATCCCTTTTAAAGCAGAATTAAATCCAGAGTTTAGGATCATGTGAGTTTAATAAATGAGGGCCTTTGTCTCCTGCCTGCTTGGAAAGTTGTAGATTTTCCTCAAAAGTACTCTAAAGAGCTGCAAATATTGTTAAAACACAAGAAACCATTTTATATGCAGTAAAGGAAACACACACAGCATAGCGTCATGCTAACAGAATAAATGCGCATGCTTGGCTAAATGCTTTTAAGTGTGCACTTTAAGTATGTATGGTACAGTACATCTATTATGTAACATTTTATAGACGTGTCTGGTGACCTCTAGACAGCAAAGATGCAGTAATTGAAGCAATTTGATGCTGCTCTGAGTCAGGGAAGTACATATTTCTGTAAACTGCAATCCTGCACGTACTCTGCTGCGAGCATGAGCATGTTTAATTCATGTCTAATTCTTTTCCCCAGTTCACCATGTTCACCTGCTGTGCTGTCATAATTGCCATCATCCAGTACAGCAATTTCTGCCAGCTCAGTTTCTGGATGCGTTCAAGCCTGGCGACACTAGCGGGACTCACCTTTCTCAGTGTGCTCTGGAGCCCCCCTTGCAGGTTCAAACAATCACACAGTGCACATATGCTAACACTTCAGTTTAGCGACCAATTCTCACTATTTACTAGTTGCTTATTAGCATGTATAAAATATTTAGAAATCTATTTACTTTAAACAACACTGAATAAGAATTGTTTTTATAGAATGTCTTTAATATGAGAATGTATTTTGACTTACTGCAGTTTTTCTAAAGAATGTATTTTGACTTACTGCAGTTTTTCTAAAAAAAAAAAAAAAACAAGTGAAAAATATGCTCATACAAAAGACAACATTTTTACATATTTTAACTGGAAAACAAGTTGAAAAAGATATTTAAATGACTTGTTAAGAAGTATTTTTTTTTAATGTGTACTACAATTCAAAAGTTTGGGGTCAGTAAGATTTTTTTGAAAGAAGTCTCTTCTGCTCACCAAGGCTGCATTTATTGAATCAAAAATACATAACAATACTAATATTGTGAAATATTATTACAATTTAAAATAACTGTTTGCTATTTGAATACAATGTCATTTATTCCTGTGATGCAAAGCTGAATTTTCAGCATCATTACTCCAGTCTTTAGTGTCACATGATGCTTCAGAAATATAATTTAAATATACTGATTTTTCAAGATTAACTGATGAATAGAAGGTTCGAAAGAACAACATTTATTTAAAATAGACATGTTTTATAACATCATAAATGTATTTACTGTCACTTTTGATCAATTAAATGCATCTTTACTGAATAAAAGTATTTATTTATGCAAGTTAATGAATTATGATGCTTTTATTGGGCTTTCATAGATTAGTTATGTTATGCTAATACTAATCCAAAGCTATCTTTTCATTGTCGTTTTCCTTTTAGCACTTGGGAACGTTTATTTTTGAGGTAAGTTTAGGACTATGGATACTATTTCTTTCACATTTTATTGGATTGATTTTATGCTAGCATAGCACTCAAAAGTCTCAACCTAGAGTTTACATTTTTGTTTCAGCAATTGTCTTTCCCTGTATCCACCAGATCCAGTGACTTCAACAGCAGCTTTAATGACGTCCAGTCCCCTGCCGAAGATTCAATCCGACCGCAGGACCTGCTCGGCCCGGAAGCTTTGGTTGCCTTTTTCCTGTTGCTCCTCCTCGTTTGGTTCCTCAACCGCGAGTTCGAGGTGAGCTACCGTCTACACTACCACGGCAACGTGGAAGCAGACCAGCACCGCATCAAGATCCAGAACATGCGGGACCAGGCCGACTGGCTCCTGCGCAACATCATCCCGATCCACGTGGCCGAGCAGCTGAAGGTGACCCAGAGCTACTCGAAGAACCACGACAACGTGGGCGTCATCTTCGCCAGCATCGTCAACTTCAGCGAGTTCTACGAAGAGAGCTACGAAGGCGGGAAGGAGTGCTACCGCGTCCTGAACGAACTCATCGGGGACTTCGACGAACTCTTGCGCAAATCCGACTTTTCCAATATCGAGAAGATCAAGACGATTGGCGCCACCTACATGGCGGCGTCGGGGCTCAATACGCAACAGTGTAGCGATCAAGCCCATCCGCACGCTCACCTGCGAGCGCTTTTCGAATTTTCTTTGGAAATGATGCGCGTTGTGGACGATTTTAATAAAAACATGCTTGGCTTTAAATTCAAGTTGCGAATCGGGTTCAACCACGGACCTCTTACCGCTGGAGTCATCGGCACCACCAAGCTACTCTACGACATCTGGGGCGACACGGTGAACATCGCCAGCCGGATGGACACAACTGGCGTGGAGTGTCGCGTTCAGGTTAGCGAGGAGAGCTACTGCGTGCTCAGTGGAATGAACTACGAATTCGACTACCGCGGTACTGTCAACGTGAAGGGCAAGGGTCAAATGAAGACCTACCTTTACCCGAAGAGCTCAGACAGCGGACCTGTACCTCAATACCAGCTCTCGGTCTCTCCGGAAATCCGAGCGCAGGTGGATGGCAGCATCGGACGCTCGCCCACCGATGAGATCGCCAATATGGTCCCAGCGGCCAATGCTAGTAGAGTAGGCATGTCATTCTCTGTGAGCTCAGGACTTACCGGACAGGGTTTCACTGGTAGAGACTTTCCCCAGAAGGCTGGAAGCAATGGTACGTCCAAGACTCAACGATCTGCGTCTGTTGTTGGCCTGACTTGCATACCGGAAACCAGCTTGAGAGCAAGTCCAGCGGTTTTCGGTAAACCACCGGACCCGACTTTGACCTCTCCTCCTGTCCGGGCAGAAAACACAGAAGCCGTTGCAAAAATGGAGGGAGAAATAGCGTATATGGGCGAAATGACAAAACTTTGACTTGAAACAAGCCAACATTGTTGTCGCTGTTGAATTTAACCCTTTAAACACAGGCTCTCCGTTGAGTTTGTAGGGATTGGCATGTTTAGGGATGTATGCTAGCGTAGATTTAAATCCGTGTATGTGGAAAGTTTAAGCACACCACCTTGAAGTGTTTATAGCGCTAGCTGAACCAGGAGATACTTTCACATCTGGATGGCGGTGCTGGACCGTAAAAACTCAGAGGAGCCACAGGAACCATTTCTACATGGGATAAGAAATGCTGAGGAGATGCATTGGGACGGCACAGACCTGAAGTCCCATCCTTAAGTAGACCGCAGTTATTCCTGCTAATTTCATTTCGAATATTATTTCCTTCTAGCTCTTACTACTGTCTGCCTTTCGTGAACGGTTTTCTTTTAATGAAGTGCCTTTAGGATGATATCAATATGTGTGAGGCATTTTAAAAAAAGGATTCTCAATCAAATCTTTAGCTGAAGATCTTAAGGATTTAGCATGTAAATTTGACGTTGGAAAGCGCTGTAATTTTTGTGAAAGTATTTGATATATTTTGGAATATTTGTAGATATTTTTGAGTTCTCTCTGTTGGACGTTCATCAATCAGTATTCAACACAATTTTACGAAGCCAAACTCTATATTGCGATGATTGTTGTTTTAAAAAAGACCCAAGATAAAACCATCGCGTTGAATGGTGCATGGCCTAAAGTGTCTGTGAAGAAGTATTAGCGAAATGTAGAGCAAGCTATGGGCTAAAATCATCTACAATCAACAATATCAAACATTTCTACACTGTTTTATATTAATGCATGTATTCCTAACTGTCTGATTATGGCCTTTCTGTCTCTTTTTTCCGTGATTTTTCCTGTTGCTCTGCACTTTGCAGCTAAATGCTTGATTGGCTGACCAACACCTGAATTTCAGATGAGATCTAACAGTGAGTCCTAATACGACGTGGCAACTTTGCCTTAAAGGGGTCATATGATGTTGCTAAAAAGAACATTATTTTGTGTATTTGGTGTAATGAAATGTGTTTATGCGGTTTAAGGTTAAAAAAACACATTATTTTCCACATACTGTGAGATTGTAGTCTTAAAGGACAAAAATGCATTCATGAATTAGCTACTGTGACTTTCAGACTTTACATAAAATATAAAAATGGGCAGTTGGTTTTAAGATATAGGCATAGCTTGTTTACGAGTCAACATAAAATCAACATTTGCTCTTCTAAAAAAACATTCCTAGTCTTATTCTGGGGCGGGTTGCATAAACTGCCTAGACTAGTTTTAAAAAGAGTTAGTCATCTAATTTCTTTTCTTCAAGACTGGTCATAACTTTTTAAAGTCAGTTACAAAAAGGTAGACTGGTCTAATGTGAATCCAAAAAATAAGACTGATTACCCCTTGGCTAACTGCTAGTTGGTCAAACTAGTTTGTAAGACACAGTCTTAACATAGTGTCTATGTTTATGCAACTGGCCTCTTCTGGACGATTCATCAGTGCACTTTGTCGAAAAAAGCAAAAATGTTTGTCTTTGTAATCTTTCGTCAAAATTTAAACTTGCTCCGCCTCTGAAACGACATTTCTTTTCAGTTGACGTCACCTAGGATGCGCAGGCATGGAAAATAATAATAATCAGTAGCTAAACAACATTGTTTTAGGCTACTGTTGTAGGTAGTGCAGTAATTTAATATTAAACTGATTACGGCAATAATAGCAAATAATGATAGATTTGAAAACAACGCTTTAAAATTGGAAGTACTCTGGTCAAAAATCTTAAAATATTGGGGGAAAATGCTGGTATCGTCTACGTCCACCATCTAATCAATTACTGATGGATCAAATTAAATCATATCCTACTTTTTTTTTTCTCATGCAATATAATGTTTCACTTAGAGTTACGTCAAATGAGAGTATGAGTGTGCCGTTTCGTATGGGCTTTGATTTGAATTATCGTGCACTGGCATCTTGAGCGGTAAAAGTTAATTCAATTAGTTCAAAAATGTGAAAAAAAACTTTAACTGTACTCAAATCTAAAGAGACAAGAAATTATGTTGCCAATTAAGTCACCATATAGTGGCATAACAGTATAATCTAGGTAACACATATTTAGCCAGCCAGTCATATGTACATACTCATGTGAATATTAGAATAGATTAGACCATAGCCTTGACTCTGCCTGCTTGTCTTTTGATGTGCAATAGTAAAGGGTAAATTATTGTATGGGATATTAGCAAAAGGAAGTAGATTTTAATCTTTTTAACATTGAGCTTTGTGAGTAACTTAATCTGCACTGACACTGCATACATTATATGTCTCATGATTTAAGAATTGATGTTTTTACCTTTTGATAGCAGTTTGATGTCTTTGCTTTTTTCCTTACATTTTGGCTTTATAATGGGTGACCTGTATTAGTTTAAAAGGGTTGTGTGCTCAACGATTTTCTGTTGATTTGTCATGCTTCACATTCAGTGGTGATATTTATAGGAATATGAGAAAATGTGAAATGTATAGCTTTTCTTGACATTGCTGTGAATTTGCAGTTTGCCAAGAACCTATACATTTAAAAGGGAATTGTTATAAAAAGTGATTGATTTGCCAGTATTTCGCATTGTACATATTAGTGCCTTTTACTCATTTAAAATGCATTGACCAGTCAGATGACGCCATCCTGATTATCTGTTCATTATCATACACTAAATGCGTGTGTATGATAAATGTCTTCAGATTTAACGTGATCTTTAGCGCTGTGCCTTTTCTTAACAATTAGCTTGACGTGTCCATTTTCACTGTATATTCCTTTTGAATGTGAACTGCTCTTCATTTGTAAATGTACAGGATGAATATTGTCATTTTACTCCAAGGTGCCATTCTAATATGTCATTTTATTCTGTGCTGATTTTGATACTGTTCAGTTTGTGTTTTTGGTGACACCAAGCATAGCAATCCATGTATTTATAATATATTTTATAGGGCACAACTTTTGCTAAATAATAAAAGTGCCCTTGCTGTCTGGAGGGGGAATGAGCACACAACCCTTATGGGCTCTGTTTCAGAGTAGTAGAGCAATATAAAACTTGATCCAACTAAATAAGTATTACGCTTCAGCTTTTGAACTGCTGCTTGAACTTAGCTTGACGAAGCACATTTGTGTTTTTTAATCAGTTATTTTTATGGAAATGTGCTCCTTATGAACTTTCCATTCCATTCTGTTTGAGACTTTAAAGCAAAAAACACATTTAGGGTGAATGAAAGGACTGAACTAATGTACGATAACAGAAGAGACACATTTTATTTTATTTTATTTACAATCACTTGAGTTGGCCCTATTGATTATTCCAAGCAATTTGACATAGGAAATGTGTGCATGTAAAATTTGACACACAAATGTGTGTGTCAACAAAAATATCACACACTGGGACTTCTTGCCAAAGAGTATATTTATTCAAGAATGTATGATTTTGAGTTTCTCTGTTTCTTTGGAGATACCTTCATTTATAAACTCAATCTGTATTCATTTGTATAAAGTTTTTTTCTCCTATGTTTATACATTTGCATTGCTCTGTGTGTTGACATATAATTTTTTTTAAATTATTTATATATCAGTGCATGTGCCATACTGTTACATCAAAGCTAATGGATGAAAAGGGAAAGCCAATAATACAGTGTTAAAAGTCTGCGTTCTGTCTGTTGATTTGTAATGAATCTAGGATACCTTAAAATTTGACATTAACAGTATCCTGCACACACACTACCACACAAGTCTAATTTTGGGATGAACTCTTCCTTTTATTCCTATCAAGTATGTATTTTTGTCTACACAGCTGTATTTACAAAAGTTGCAAGAATGTGCCGTTGTCTGCTAAAAAACCAAGTTTTACTGCAGTACTACTGAAAAATCGTAATAGCTACAGATCTCTCAAACAGAGTTTTAATTTAATTTGAATAAAGATATATCAGCGTTTTATTGTACTAGATTAGAGTACTTACTGTGGTATGGTACACTTTTGTAAGGGCCCGATTTAATACCACATCTCTACGCCATTTACATGTAAACCACGCCCCCTAGCGGCTGTTTTGGTTACGACTGCGCGACGTGCGCGTTTGCGTAAGGGGCGTGGCCGCGCAGCCCCTCCCCCCTCCACAGTCTGGCTGGAAAAGAAAAAAAAACTTTTTGTATCGAAGGAATCAACAGCCGCCATCTTGTCGCGGATGAGCGTCAGGATTTCGGGAGAGCATTATATTATTTTTTACGCGCCCGGCTCCATCGGAACCGGCCCAAATAGCTTCCCCGCGACGGAAACGACAAGCTTCGGGCCGAATCGCGGATCTTTGTGGTGAATATCAGCGTAATGGAGCCGTTTTTGTGGTCGGTTGGAAAACCCCCGTATATCTGATTTCCCCCTTCAGCGCGAGCGGCGCTCCTGTGCCACTCGCCTATATTAAAATAGAAATATTTGTTCTCATTTTTCATTTATATTTCTAGACTTTACTGATTATTCGATTCGGGCTGGACATGGAGCTCGAAGGTCTTTATTTTTATTCGCAGAAATTGAACAGACCCACGCAAGCCACTTGAAGCAGTCGGGACTTGATGATTTTTCTCCCTCGTCGTTTGTTTGTCGGTTTTAACGATGATATAATTTATTTCCGTGGGGTTTGGGGTGATCATTAAGGTTAATTATGCGGGTTTTGGGTGTTGGATTATCATGGGGTGAATGGCGGTGGCGGAGCGGGGCGCTGTTGAGTCGTGTTTGAGCCCCATCTGTTAATTATTGGCCCCTGATCGCTGAATAATAATAGAAAAACCCGAGGGTTGATTTGATTTATTTCGCTTTGTCCCCCCTTCCGGGCTCTCGGAAGACGCATTTGTTGTTTTGTCGTGTTTTTTTGTGAGGTGAGAGAGCACGATGGCTGATAATCTGCTGGATATGGGTCCCTCCAGCGCAAAGCGGCCCAAACTGAACTCACCTGCGCTGTCTTCCTCCGACACTCCAGGTAAGATGCTGATCGCACCTGTCAAACCTGAAAACCTCTCAGAGCTCACATCAGAAATCTAGTTCAGATCCGGACGAGAACTCTCATAGACCAGGTCGTGTGTTTTGTAACGCATTCGCTCGGATGTCCGATCGGAAACCCTGTAGACCAGGCGAAACTCTCACGTGTTCAATGGGAAATCTCGCAGGCAGGGTTCAGGTAGCGATCTCACCTGTCCAGTAAGAAACCAGGTAAGTCTCAACTTCAAAAATCTCTCACCTGTCCCACCAGAGATCGATCAGTTCAGGAGAGACGCTCGGTTGTCCGTCTCAAACCCCCACAGACCCAGGTCCATGTCTTGCTAGAGATTCTTGTTTAATTTCTGAAAACTGATATGCAGAACCTAATGTTTACACAATAATGACTAGTTGATCATTAAGCGTCAATAAAAACATAGGCATTATAAATATTTTAGTTAAGAGTATTGCTATTGTTATGCAGAATTATTTTTGACCTAAAGAGTCGGATGTTTGTTTGTTTGTTTTGTGTTGTCTTAATGGTTAATCTACTTGTTTCTCAAAAATGGAAAATAATAATTTTTTAAAAATAAGTTACTTTTACATATTTTGCAATGGAGAATATTTTGTTGTTTAGATACCCATCAAATTGTGCCATATATTGATAATTTTAGTATTAAATGACCGATAACCGATTAAGTTGAAATGTATTAATATCTGTAAATATATATTTTTCTAGATATGTCTCATGTTGTTTTCCTGATAACGAATGCAGAGCTGTTTTATTTCTAAAATCGTCAAAATGATTTGTATTTAATATTTCTAAAATAAATAATTTTGATGATAATCACTAGATATTGTTGGACAACAATGCAAATACATATAAATATTATAAATAAATTAATAATGAATAAATTCCTAATAAATAAAATATTTTGTGATCTAAATGGTCAAAAAATCTTTGTATTTAATTGTGAAGCTGCATATTTTCATAAGTAACTGTTATTTATAATTACGTTTGTGTATTTTTCAGTATATAGTACTCTTGTTGGTTGATTTGTAGATATTTGTCAAATGGTCACATTTAATCGGCAGACCCGCTATTAAAGAACCGATAACCAGTTGAAAAGTCTGAATATCAGTCCAATGTGGTAGTCAGAACATTTTTGGTCGCTCTCTAGCTCTCATCTGTCCCGTCAGGTCAAACCAGGCTCAGGTGAGACACGTGCCTGTCCCATAAGCAACTGGGTTCAGGTAAAACTTTCACCCCAAAACCTGGTCTATGTGATAATCTTACAGTCCATCAGAAACTGATTGTTCTTGTCAGCGTGACTCTGCTACATGAAGGCAGTTCCTGCAAAAGCCCTTATTTCCAGTATGTGAGGTTTAGTCTGCAAGCAGGGATGTGTTGAATTAGTGTAATCTGTGCACTTAAATATGTGCAACAAATGTTTGCATTGAATTTAATATTTTAAGTTTTGAGTTTATAAGACATAATCATCTCTATGTAATGTCTATGTATGTTACACTTGGACTGATAGAGACTTTTGAAGCCGTTCAACTGCTGACTGTGATAGTGTTGCTGTGGAATGTAATGACACTGACTCTGATATTAATCTTCATATGCTCTCTTGAGTGAAACCTTGTTGCAAGTTATGCATTATATAGGCGAGACACCAAGCATCTCTGCCAGATGTGGATTTCTGTGAGGGCTGCTGTAATCAGTGCAATGACAATTGCCATCAGTCTCAAGGAAAGCAGAAGTTTTCTTTTCATCCCCATTTCTCGTGCAAGTCTTCATGCAACGTCTGTTGAGGTTTCAGTTAGCTGAATATCACTGTTATGCAGAGACTTTAGTGCAGTGATTCTCAACCTTTTAGACTCGAAGGCCCCCCCCCCCGTTGTTCAACACAGTATTCAAAGCCCCCGAGAAATACATCTAGATTTAGTCTTTTCTTAGCATTTTAATTTATGGTTAGATTTTTATATATACATTTTTTTTAATAATTATATACATTTTATATATATATTATTAGGGATGCACCGATACTGGTATATCTTTCTCACAGACATCACTGGAAAGCTTGTAGTTCGGTCGGATATTTTAAAAACAAGTAAGTAAAACAATGCACAAGTTACTTAACGGTAGGGAGAGAGAGAGAGAGAGTGCGCGCTATTCTGTTGTGTGATCTTTGATGTTCACTCACTTAGCTCACGCATCATTTGGATTAAAACTAAATCGTAAAAATAAGACCATTTATAGGGGCATTCACTATAAACACGAAAGTGAACTTGTGTGAAATGCGCTAGGCTGTACTACTGTCCTCTCATTCTGCATCAGTACAAATACGACAAATACGTG